AGTAGTTTAAATACATTTCGACAGCACTATCGGCTTCAACACCCGCAAAAACCATGAGAATGACACCCATGATGTAAAAATTGATACCTATTGCAGCCGCCATCTTGGATTTACATTTCGACAGCACTATCGGCTTCAACACCCGCAAAAACCATGAGAATGACACCCATGATGAAAAAAATGATACCGATTGCAGCCGCCATCTTGGATTTACATTTCAACAGCACTATCGGCTTCAACACCCTCGAATACCATGAAAATGACACCCATGATGAAAAAATTGATACCTAATTCAGCCGCCATCTTGGATTTACATTTCAACAGCACTATCGGCTTCAACACCCTCGAATACCATGAAAATGACACCCATGATGAAAAAATTGATACCTAATTCAGCCGCCATCTTGGATTTACATTTCAACAGCACTATCGGCTTCAACACCCTCGAAACCCATGAAAATGACACCCATGATGAAAAAATTGATACCTATTGCAGCCGCCATCTTGGATTTACATTTCGACAGCACTATCGGCTTCAACACCCGCAAAAACCATGAGAATGACACCCATGATGTAAAAATTGATACCTATTGCAGCCGCCATCTTGGATTAACATTTCGACAACCCTATCGGCTTCAACTCTCTCGAAAACCATGAAAATGACACCCATGATGAAAAAAAATGATACCGATTGCAGCCGCCATCTTGGATTTACATTTCAACAGCACTATCGGCTTCAACACCCTCGAATACCATGAAAATGACACCCATGATGAAAAAAAATTATCCCTAGTGCAGCCGCCACCATGTATTTACATTTCGACAGCACTATCAGCTTCAGCATTCTCGAAAATCATGAAAATGATACCCATGATGAAAAAAATTATCCCTATTGCAGCCGCCACCTTGGATTTACATTTCTACTGCACTATCGGCTTCAGCACCCTCGAAAACCTTGAAAATGGTTGGAATTTGGTTATTCGAATATTGTGTATTTGTACATCGATCTTTTTGAGCCGCTGTAAACAACCGTAACAATGTCCACTCACGACGGCGACTGATGCCGAACTGAGTGACGCAGTCTCTATTTAGTAATAATTTATTCATACAAGGCTACCGAATACAACGAAAATTTCGCCATTTCGCAGTCGAAAAAAATTTATTATAATTAAATTAAACAAAATTAAACTGCCATTTACATTCAATGGCTTCCCACATGATAGATGAAGAGTTTTAAAAATATATTGAGCTGAACAATTGATATTTTCAAAAGTTATCGTGTTTACAAGCCTTGCGGACTTGATAAATCCACACCATAAGCCACTAAAACCCTTTTTTTATTTAAAAATAGCAATTAATCGATTTAAAAAAAATATTAATAAGTTCAACAATCATTTATCTTTCTGACAATGTGCTTTTTATATGACTTATATGTACAATATTATTGTTAGATACGATTTAATGCGACAAAACGTGGAATCTTAATGTTTAGGCGATAGTAGAACATACCGACGCGCTTAGGCGCTTACGGCATGCAATAATTCAATTTTATTCAGTGGCGAAGCTAGGGCTCCGAACTAGGGCAAGCCCACGATATGGCTTTGTTGTTTTTAGCAGTTTTATAAAAATAAACCAATCTTGATCTGTCTCCACGCTTCAGTTTCATATTCAGTGCTGTCGAGGACGTGTTTAACAAAGCACACAGAAGGCATACTACGCTAGATAAATTGTATGATATATCAGCAATTGCAAACCTTCCGTGGCTTTGAAAAAAGCCGTTTGGGTTTGCTTGATCGAAAGAAAAAGATATTTACATACAATACAATACATGAACAAAAGAAAAGCATGAATAAAGTACAAACAAACTACAAAATAAAAAAAACCAAATTATTTATATTCAAAATCGAATCGTCTCTCTTTCTTAAGGAAAGATTTGATTACGTCCACGTAAGATGTTGGTGAACATTTTAATTGTACCAATAACTGTTTTTCAATTGCGATAATTGATAAGTCTGAAACATGCTCTTGACCTTGTGTATTTCTCAAATAAGTGTGAATGCGCTTCAGAGATGAGAAAGCACGTTCCGCGGAGGAATTTGTGGCTGGAATATTTACGAGATAAGCTAATTTTAAAAGCTGGGGAAAGGCTTCTTCAAGACTATTTTCGTTTATAAAGTCAATGAGTTCGAAAACATTGCGGTCTTTTAATTCAGAGGAGGAATACAATGAAATCAATAGGTTTTTCAATGTTGGTTTATCAAAATGGTTTGGGTAATTTTCAAATAATGAATCTAATGCCTCTAAAGGAAAATCTGAACAACATTTTTCGAATAGTTTGTTGTTGTACAATTGGAAAAATTTTAATTTGAAAATTTCAGAGCATCGGTCATTAATTTCTGAAGATATGTTATCAATTATTTCAACAAAAAGTCGTTTGTATTCTATCTGAGCACCGCGCACATTGCGTCTCAAACGAAGGGCAGAGTTATTTTGCAATGTGTTTTAATAAATGTGATCAAAATCTGACTGAAATTCAGTACGTAACCATGTCTGAAACTCCTTTATTTTATTACTGCAATTACCGACATCAACTTGTTGTTTTTTGTAAAATATTGTACAAGCAGTCGGTTTTTTCAAATACTCGGTTTTCTCGGCGGCCAAGATCGTATCGCCGTCCCAGTTCTGCGCATCGTCGCACATAACCGAAAAATACTTAATTAGATTATCTTCTTGTTCGAATACTGTATTCACAATTCGTGACGTTTACGTCCAACGAATTGCGGGGGCATTAGGTAATTTTTTGCTGCAATGTGCATCATAAAAAGACGACCGTTTTGTGCTGTTATTAAAAAAAATTAAATAAAACCTGAAGGGCTGAAAAAAAAAGTGCTGACTTCCCCAATCCTGCTACAAGATTTAGATAAAACTAATGCCAAAATGTGTTTATTTAAATCTTGTAACAGGATTGGGGAAGTCAGCACTTTTTGTTCAGCCCTTCAACTAATTAATTTTTTCAAACATCTTTAACTTTTTGTTGCACTCCATTTCTAACACCGGACATGACACTTGCACCGTCATAACTAACAAACATGACTGCACCACAAAACTAGTTGCACAACTAGTTTTGTGGTGCAGTCATGTTTGTTTAATAATTCCAATATGATATTACAAAGTGTGTCTGCTGTGCGATTTTAAGACACATCTACATACCCCAAAAAACGGTCATGAATATTGTTTCCATAAAAATATCGGAGAATTAGACACAATTGCTCTCTGTGACTAATATCGGGAGTTTCGTCAATAATAATTTAAACGAATTTTGACAATTTTACTTCGTACTCGATGCGAGTTTTCATTACATCAGCGACATAATGAATAATGTCATTTTGGATTGAACTAGATAAATAACTCGGCCGTTTGTCGCTTTGTTCATGCTGCATATGCTTTTCTAACACGAGATCGTACTTCGAAAGAAGCGATACAAGTTCTAAAAAACTGCCTCTATTTAATGAAGTTTTCGACTCATCGTGACCTCTGAAAGGAAGTTCTCGTTGTGCTATCTTTGAAAAACACTACGGTTGTGCTCAACACACATGTTGTGTTTTGTACTTTCCTCGGATAACTGGCGTGACAAAGATGTTTCAATCAGATTTTTTCCAAAATTACTAAACGAAATTACCCTATTCATGTGTTTTTGAGAATTCATATGCCTTTTGATGACTCCAGATAAGTTATTTAAATCATAAGCTGTTTTGTCGTTGGAAAAGAATATGCAGCACCAACAACTTATTGGTATGTGAGCAGCCAACAATCCAATGAGTTTTGTAAAGAGACCTTTTAAATTACCGTTTGAGGGTTTTACTCGTCTGAGAAATACACAGATCAGGCGTTGGTTTCGGCGTGGATATGAGCTGTTTTTTCTCAACAAAAGTTTAAAAATTTTACCATTTCCTTGTCGATTAGCACTTTAACACACTTCAATTCATCACAAGGAACACTATTATTCTCCATTTTCACTAAAAATCTTTAAAAAAATATAAATTTATAACTCAAGTAAACACACAGAGTAAACATTAAAATGTGAAGTGAACTTGCAAACATATCGCCCGTGCGCCCTCGCGCTCGACTAACTTCACACCGAAAGCCCAGCTTATCGCTCCATACTAATTGCTATCGTAGTTATATTTTATTATAGAACATTTTGCTACATGTTAGAAAGGGAGCGATCGTCTTCTCGAAAGCCCGGTAAAAAGCCCACGCGTGCGAGATAGACGACTAATCGCTCAACTCAACTCCTTTTTTATGACAGCAGTATCGCGCAGTTTTGCAGCGACCGGGGTCCATACATATTGCTTTGCTTTCATTAATTTTGACAGTCCATTGCGTGTTCGTTTTGTGACAGAGAGAACACGAATCAGTGTATTTAGAATTGAAAGCAATCTGCCAAGTGTTGACGTTACATAATAAGGCTACGAGGTCATGACCTATGTAGAACAGAGAGCGCGCGGGAAATTTGAAATGTTTGAAACAGTTTACGAGTTATTTTATTAGTTGATATTATTGATTGAGCAGTTTGATAAGGCAAGCCCGCCTTCTCGGCCTCTATGGAGGCTTCGATACCGATTTTATTCTATTATATGCTTATGCTATAATCATTTTATTTTGTACCGGTGGAGATCGATTAGCTTTTGAGCTACCACTAAATACGTGGTAGAACCATGCTGACCGTAGAAGGACCACGCATTCATAGAATACCAGCGAAAAAAGTAGCTTTAATGTTGCTGCCTTTCGAATGTTGAGTGTAGAGAACTGGAGACCCTTTTCATTGGAAACAAGGCGTTCTATCTTAGTCACTATGACAACACATCTGTATTTTGATTTTTAATCGAGGATAGATGTAGTCGTGTATGAGCCACATCACTCGCTTACCATCGGATGGACTGTGTGCTCGTATGTAACGTTATTGTATAACCAGTGAATATGTGGCGGTGGGGTGGCACCTGGTCATGCAGCGCGGAGGTCTCGGTGTAGGCGGCGCCGAGCGCTGCGGCGAAGCGCGCCGCCTCGGCCGCCGGCACGGCACGAGCCTCTGCCAGGTCCGCCTTGTTGCCCACCAACGCCAGCACCAGCGGCTCTGCCACGTTGCTGCCACGACACATTGCAACACCTCGCGAGCTACCCGCGCAACGTACAGTGCCACAAGTGCAAGGCCGGATTAAGCCGTGTACATGCAAACACTTCTTTGTATACTAAACAAAATCAGTGTTAAATTCGAAAACAGTGTTCGCGGTTTACAAAACAAAGAATTCTTTTTTCTAGTCTTCTCGTCCACTTGCAGTAGACTAAAGGAGTTACGGAGAATTGAACGTAGCTCAATGTGCAATGTATTTGTACCGTAGTGTCCGTCTTGTAGCACACATAGAAGTCTTTAATGTCGGCTGCCTCATTCTTTTTCCAATTTCCTTTATTACGTAAGAATAATTTTTCTAAGACCACGGGAGCGGGGCCTATAGGCAGGTGCCAGTTTTCCCTTAGGTATATCCGACCTTGCACAAGTGTACCACTCGTGTGCGATAACGTCACACCTATTAGAGTACGCCTTCCCGCCCTTTATTCCATACCTATTCGGATGGCGGACGTCTGTACTTCGTGCGCCAGTACTTTTCTACCCTTTTAAGCCTAATACTGAAGTCACGTAACTTAGTAACTTAATATTTTAGTTAAACACTTTTATATACTATGGTCCTAACATTTGCAAGAAAGAGCCTTGTGCTAAAAGTGTTACTTTTTTATATAAAGAATAGCGAAACCTACTGTATTTGTTACTAGGGCTACTAGGGCTACTAGGGTTATTAGGGCGAAATTGAAAGTTTTTAGAACTGGCCACTTGTAAACAATATAATAAAAAAATAAGTTCAAATTTTGAAAATGGAACTCTTTGCCAATATTATTGTGAATGTATTTTATTAATTTGTCATTTGTTTACGATTGGCGGCAAATTGAAAATTGTCTGTGTCACGTCAGCATGAATTTAACGCGAGAAAATTTTCGTACAATGTTTTTTTATGACTTTCGATGTCATTTAATTCAACAAGAAAGTTATGATATATGAGTGACGAAAACCAGAAACCCTTTTTACTGTTAACCAATCTTTCCATCTTAGTCCTCAGAAACGACAACGCATTTGTTTTCGGGATTCCGTACCCGAAGGGTAACCAACGGGACCCTATTACTAAGCCTCCGCTGTCCGCCCGTCCGTCTGTTTGTCAATCAGCGGGCTGTATTTCATGATCCTTAATAGGTAGACAGTTGAATTTTTTTTATAGGAGAGGGGGCAAACGAGCACGCGGCTCACCTGATGGTAAGTGACTACCGCCGCCCATGAACAACTGCAACACCAGGGGAACCAGGGGAATCGCAGATGCGTTGCCGGCCTTTTAAAAGAGTAGGCTCTTTTCTTGAAGGTCCCTAAGTCGTATCGGTCCGGAAAATCGCTGATGGTAATCGATTCCACAAGGAAGTTTTCACAGAATGTGCACTTCTGTTGCCGCTATAACAACAAATAATAAAAATAAATTAAAAATTAAAGCTCCCCCCCCACCCCTTCATCTCCTACTAGGTACGCGTTTTACTATGGTACGGGACCCTTCATGCGCGAGTCCGACTGGCACTTTGCCGGTTTTTCAATTCTTAATCGAGGATAGATTTAGATATCCATGGATTGAAGCATAAAATAACATAAAACATTCACGCCTGCCACCCAGAGGGATAGATAGACTACAGACTTTCATACACATGCATGGTCGGCGGTTAGGTGTATTTTTAATCTGGCCCCTTTTCAATATATCGCCAATTTGGTCGATAAACTTTCATATTGGGCGTCCTTTGCCGACTCACTTCTGTAACACAAATTTGCTTTGTCATTATTTTCTCGTTCATTCCTTCTACACAACCAACCGACCGAAGCATTCATACTTTTGTATAAAAAATAGACTGAAGATTTACCTTTGCAGCTCTTTAACCCAACTCTTGATTGCAGAGAAGCTGGCGGCGCTCGTGATGTCGAACACCAGTAGCGCGGCGTTTGCATTGCGGTAGTACATCGGAGCCATTGAGCGGAATCTCTCCTGGCCCGCCGTGTCCCACACCTGTGCATACGCTCAAACTCATTCAACGATATAAACAACGGCTATTTTCGCAATTTTTCTGTATGATTTTCTGTTATTTTAGCCAGTGCTTGACCACTATCCCATGTGATGGTAATGGTGATGCAGCCGAAGACGGGAAAGCGTACTGACTTAGCTAATCGAAAGCCTTGAAATCACCCACATTGTAATCAGAGAGAAAGGATTCCGATGCTAGCTAAGACAACAAGGGAGTGCCCTGAAATAGAGGAGATACGACAAAGGGTTTCTTTTTAGCGGTAAACGCGCAAACTTGTGTCATCTGGGAATTAACTGGATTAGATTTAGTCGCCCCCAATCAGAGACTGTTCCACAAAGAGTCGACTTCAGATACAATTTTATTCCGGTATTCGACGACGTGTTCCCGAGAAATATTAGTACGGTTGACATGCAAAAGGAACAGGGTAGGCGATATCACGCAACCTTGTAGAATACCAGCACTGTTACACTTCCATTTCCACAGCAGACTGTTCCATAAGGCCGACCCTGATGACATCCCAACTTTCGTGGCACGTGATCTCAACGTGACGTTCGATCACGAACGTGACCAGATTGTTGAAAGACATCACTAGGTTGAAAGCCGAAATTACCGACATCCGTTTCAAACTGGAACAATCGGAACGTTCAACAGAGCTGAGGAAAGAGGTCACTTTTTGCGTAACATAAACACAACATCTGCGAATTCACCGCCGCGCCGTTGCAGAATGTTAATACGACAGGCGGTAACCGTAATAGTAGTCATATTATTTCACCGATGATTGCCACTCCATCATCCGACACTGTCTGTCAGCAGGTTGATGATCATGAAACTAGGGCGAGCTTGGTCTCGTCGTTGCATTTTTTTAAATTATGTACGAGCATCTGCGCAGGTCTAGAGAGACCAGTATCACTGCGACCTAAAAAGATCTATTGTGATCGCTGCTATGTCTACAGTTCACTGCTAAGCTCTACGTCCTCAATGAATAGAAGGAGTTGCTTAGCTGTGAGTAATTTCACTTCATCTGGGCGAAGTATATTTTCCCAGATGAGTGCTGCGTTTGTGCATTAAAGGTCACAGCTCATTAGAGCTACCCGGCACCCGAACCTCACCGCCCCGCCTCGAGGTGTTCGTATTCTTCGTATGGATCTACGCTCACTACATCAACTCTGTACCATCACCGGATTGCCTCGCTGGAGGTGTCCACGCGCGAATTGCAAGTGGAATACTCATTGATAGCTCGCTGTTGGCATGCTTGCCTCGCGTGAAGCGCGAGCTGGCAACGCGCGGTTCACGCGAGTGCGATGCTGCGCTCTACACCACCAACCCATACATAATTTTCATCATCATCAAGCACACGTGCACACCTAGGGCCAAACGCTGTTAGACTATTCGGAAATTCGTTGGTCACGCGAGGGTCACTCGTTGATCACGCGAGGTCCACTCGTTGACGACGCGAGGTTCACTGATGACAACGCGGCGTCCACCCGTGGTCCACCTGTCGACTACGAGTGGACGCTTAGCGACGAGGCGGCGAGGGTCGGGTGCCGGGTGGCTCTAATGAGCTGTGACCTTAAGGGTTCGCAATTTGTCAGGATGTGTAAAGGCGTTTCCTCCTTTAGGGAGCAAAACCGGCACATTCTTGAGTTGCTTAGTCCCTCTTGATGTGCTTTTTAAGACAACAGTGTCCAGTCAGGGCTCTTACCAGAATGCGCAATTTATTTTTACCTAATCCCAGAGCTTCCGAAGCGAGTTGACGATCGAAAGTGCGGATTAAGGTTTTGGAATGTTTTAAGCCTGGTGTATCAGACCAGATCTTAAGTGATTTATTGTGGTAAAGAGTTTTCAGGGTCAATCGGGCGAGGCTATTTGAGATTCCACAAAATGGCTCGGATCCAAATTGTGTATAGTTTGTGCCCTCCCGTGCGAGCTTGTCGGCAGTTTCATTGCCTACAATACCCGCATGACCCGGAACCCATCTTAAAACTACCTTGTATATACCTCCTTAGGCGTTTAGGCGGTTCACGCAGTCTCCAACTAGCTTCGAGTTCACCAAGTTTGATCTCAGCGCTAGCGGTGCTTGACTATCAGAGTTAATATAGATTATATGGTTAACGTAGTGTTTTTGCAGATTGATTTCCGTACACTGAAGTATGGCGATAATTTCTGCCTGGAAGATAGAGATGAATCTACCCAAATTCATACTAAGTGTGAATTTGGGTCTCTCCCCATAAATTCCAAAGCCTACGTTGAGGCCCATTTTTGACCCATCGGTATACCATATAAGGCTACCGACCTCACAGATGACCTGTCCATTTAGCCAGTCTTCTCTGGAGGGTAGTTCCACTGTATACTTTTTGTTAAAAGTATATAGTGGACGCATGATATCTGAGATCATGCATAAGACCGGTGTTTCCTTGACTGAGTCGAGCATGGATCTCAATCTGTAGGAAAGCAAGCTCAAAGCGCCCTGAGGGTTAATCCTATACAAGCTAGCCTTCGCCTCCTTGTCCAAGTAAAGATCAAGAGGCTTTAGGCCTAGAATTGCATTAAGAGCCGCTCCAGGCGATGATCGCAACGCTCCAGATCCCATTAAGCAGGCAGTCCTTTGTAGACTATTTAGTCTGTCCGCAGTCGTCTTTTCGTTGGCCTTATTACACCGCATAATCAACTCAGCCGTTGACTAAACCTGTCCGGCACCTTCTTGTGACCCAAAACAACGAAGTGTGGACACGAGATCTGTTTCCGTGGTGACCCGCTACAAGATTGATGATGACGGGTTTACTCTTATTCCTCTACTAGATGTAGCGGAGATCCATGTTCAGGAACGTGCCTTATGGCACTCCTTGGGGGAGTCCTATGTTCAGGTGTGTACTTATAATAGGCTTAATGATGATGAAATTTTCAAAACGAAGATTTAACTGCAGTTTCAACTCCTTTCAAAATGCAATTTCAATTTTCCAGGTTAAGGCTATTATCCATGAGCAATAATTTATAAAATACCTTCACCAAACATAAGAAATTTATTTTTCACACAAGTTTTATTTTTATAATATATCATTGGACATTTGTCTCTATCATTAATATTATAAAATTAAATATGACTCAGCTGAAAGAGTTTTAATCAAATTTGGCATAGATTTACAATTTATCATGGAAAAGCACATAGGATCCTATTAACGCTATGACTAGGGGGAGGGGCTACAGTGAAGCTATTGATCCTCACCTGCAATTTGATACGAGCGTCGTCCATGTTGATGTTGCAGGTGAAGAATGAGGCCCCGATGGTCGGGGAGATATGTTTTGAGAACATCTTGCCGATGTAGCGCACTACCAGACTAGTCTTGCCCACGCCTGCAAGTCGCAAGAACGGGTCACATTATTTTCAAAGGTCGTCATGCAGTCTACCTACTCTAACTGTCTGCTCGCTGTGATCACATACCATACAGCGTATGGGCAGTCTCAATGGAGACTAGATTTCTGCTAAGAACGGGATTAAAGTGCACGAGTGTGAGCGCAAGCACAGGTGCACTCTCTATTTCTCTACTCTCATAGTCTAATTGGCCGGCAATAAACTATTTGATATTATATTGATATCCTAACACATAAATTTATATCCCTAATGTAATTACATTGACATTTCTCTTGTAATGCTCTTATAGTTTACCTTACAATATAGGTATTAAAAACAGTTTCGTTCAATGTGTAGTATCTGCATAGATATAAGAAATAATTTCATACATTTAACTTTTAAATTATTCATTCAGAACAGCCTAAGAGTCCACTGCTGAACATAGGCCTTCTTTTGATTGCTTTATAGGAGAAATATTTGCTACAGATGCCACGCTAGACAGGCAGGATAGCAACCACAATTAATTTTGAATTGTTATCAGGCAGGTAATGCCTGCCCATCCTCATCATTTTTTCCCAAACTCATATAGGTCCCTGCAGTATAACTTATTCAATAAAAAATGGATCATCAAAATTGGTTAACAATTATTGATAAAATACTGCACAACATACATGTTTGTTTTTACTGGTGGCAGAACTCCTTTTCTGTCCAGGAGTCATCTGGTAGGTGGCAGGTTCTACCCTCTTGCCTGTTCCTGCTGCCAAATAGTAGTGCATGCTGGTGTAGTGTACCAACATGAATGGCATAGAGAGCCGGTATAATCACGTGCTGTGAGGGTTTCTATCTTAACCCATGATGGTGACAATGCAAAGATAGCTTTTAAAGTTGTTTGCAGGGGTCTATGGGTTGCATAAGCAAATTAATATAAATTTGTTTGAAGTATCAATTTTATAAAAAAAATATTTGTTTTTAAATTGCTATAAGTGATGTTAGGTATGGCAACATACAAAAAAATAAGCTGATTTTATTACACCATAAAATATATTTAGTCGTCAACTAAGGATTGTAACTAATCTGGTGCTGTTGAAGTGCAGCACCACCTCCCTTGTGTCATAAATCTCAGGCACCCATGCTTTACTATGCAGATTCGGCTTGGTGGTAATTTGACTACAAGCCTCAGCTGCTATGCTTCATATGGTGGATTCTATTCTGTAACAGTTTTTGTACCAAATCCACAAGCTGTAAAAGCCAATAAGCTAAAAGCACTAATTTTAAAAGCTGTTATATAGAATTCATTAAAATTGGTAAAAACATTTTTAAATATATATTAAGTAAAATCTTATTTCTGATAAAATTATTATTAGTTAACTATTGTATACTTTTACAGCTTTGTCTTGCTTTTTTTATCCACATCCTGCATTGTGATTAAATTTTGTGTGCATTAAGGTTGGCAAGCCTACCGAGTTGTGGTGTTGTAAAAATACTCCCTACCCCAGATCGTCCTGGGGGTGTTGTAAGAGGCGATACAGGAAAACAAAGTAGGACATCGGTAGCAGCATTTTTCCAATAACAACTAAAAATAATAAAAAACTGTGATTGTCAACTCACCTGGCAAGCATGGTAAACTATGGCAAATAACGGGACAAGCTTCCTCATGCAAGGCCTGTATCCAGCAGTGGACTTGTGAAAGGTTGTGATACATCTGCTGCAATGATCAGCCAAAATAATCATGGCATTTTGTGCTTTGCTTGTTGACATATTTGTTACGATATAGATATTTAATTTGTAAAACATGAGTAAAAAATGGAAAGATGTTAAAGACTTAACACTTGTTTTGCGATTTTATGGTGTTCAAAAATTATACTACATATTTAAATAAAATTAATTTTACGGATTTTATCGCGTATATTAACTTATTTTATATTCCCGACGTTTCGGGTGCTTTCCAGCACCCGTGGTCACAGGGGACTGAGATGTTTCACACACACAGAAAGGATTCATACCATTTTGTTAGTGAGATAAAAGACCTACATCTCGCTGACAATGAAACTATGGTCAGTTTTGATGTTCAGTCACTATTCACATGCCTACCTATTGAAGACTGCATCTCAATTGTTACTAGAAAGCTAGAAGATAACAACATGCCCACAGAACATGCAGTATTACTCAAGCACTGCCTCACATCTGGCTATTTATTGTGGAAAGAAGAGTTCTACATGCAAGTAGACGGAGTGGCAATTGGCTCACCTGTATCTCCCGTAGTCGCCGACATATTCATAGAGGACTTTGAGGAGAAAGCCCTTCTTACTGCTCCTGTAAATCCAAGATTCTACAAGCGGTACGTAGATGATACTTTCACAATTTTACCATCTGACAAAGTAACTGCATCTTTAAACCACCTTAATTCCATAAACCCTAAAATACAATTCACAATGGAGTTAAGAGGCAACACTACTTTAGCTTTCCTAGATGATTTAGTCATCCGAAATCCTGATAACACTATTGGTCATACTGTGTACAGGAAAAATACTCATACCAACCGATATTTAAATGGTGAATCTCACCATCACCCTTCACAGTTAGCTACTGTGGGAAAATCTTTGTTTCAGAGAGCACGAGGGATCTGTGACAGAAAACATCTGGCCGCCGAGCTTCAGCACTTCGAGCAAGTACTGCAAGACATCAAGCTTCGGGTCCCGCGCCTACGTCATAGTGACCGAGTGAAGCCAGCCACAGTCCAGCGTGTACCTGCTGTACTACCCTATGTCAGAGGAGTCACAGACAAGGTTGGCTACATCTTGAAGCGAGCTTCCATTAAAACATACTTCAAGCCACTGAAGAAGATTGGTCAATTTTTACCATCTGTCAAGTGTCATATCCCTCTACAAGATGCAGGAGTGTACAAGCTGGACTGTGAATGTGGTCTCTCGTACATAGGACAAACAAAAAGATCTATAAAAACCCGCATTATAGAACATATAGCTGACGTGAAGCACCGACGTATCGGGAAGTCTGCAGTTTGTGAACATGTTCAAGATCGTCCCCGCCATTACATTAGATTTGATAGACCACAAATCCTAGCAAAAGAACACCGATTCCTACCAAGGATGATTTTTTTTTAATTTAATATACATTACATGTGTAATTCTTATTGAAAGTCATTTTTTACTTTACCACTGGTTCGAAAAAAAACCCTCTATCCTGGGAAGAACCAGCAAGAAACCCAGCGGGACTTTTTTTTAAAAATTTATTTTAGTAACTGCTTGGAAGCGACCACCTCATTCCCAGGGGTTATTATCAACCATGTATTCATTTATACTATAATAACCCTTTTTATACAGTTTCAGCTTAATAAAACATTTAAACTTGGTAATAGAGAGAACCTGTACACTTTCCGGGACCTTGTTGTAATAGCGTATACATTGCCCCAAGAATGAATTACTGACTCTGTGGAGTCGAGAAACTGGCATCAATAGCTTGTGTTTATTCCTAGTGTTTACAGAATGTATATCACTTTTTTTACTAAAACTATCTTTGTTTTTGTGAACATACATTAAATTTTCGTAAATATACTGAGAGACCAAAGTTAATTATATTAATTTCTTTAAATTTTATAGAATAAGGGTGACAAACGAGCACACAGTCCACCTGATGGTAAGTAGTTGCTGCGGCCCATAGACATCTACATCTATCCTCTATTACAAATCAAAATGTAGATGCGTTGTCACCCGTGAGGACTAAGATGGAATACCTCATTTCCAGTAAAAAGGGCCTCCGGCCACCTGCACTCACCAAGCGAAACGCAGAGGTAAACCTCTACTTCACGCTGGTTTTCTGTGAGGTCGTGGTACCACCCCGGTTCGAGCCGGCCCATCCGTGCAACAGCAAAAGCTGCCGCGTGGCTCTACCACTAAGAGACTCTCTCGGTTTTATATTGTAAATAGCTCTAATGGCCCTCTTCTGTAAAACAAAAATAGTTTCTGAATCAGCCGCATTTCCCCATAGCAAAATCTCATAAGACATTATGCTATGGAAATAACTAAAATAAACTAATCTAGCTGTCTCGACACTAGTGAGACCTCTAATATTTTTTACAGCATAGGCTGCAGAACTTAGACTGCTTGCTAATTTGGATATATGGGGGCCCCACTGGAGCTTTGCGTCAAGAGTGATGCCAAGAAAAACAGTGGATACAACAGGGCTCAATTCCTCCCCATTTAAGAACACATTGGTATTCAGATTTTTAACATTCGTTGTTGTAAATTTAACACAATTAGTTTTATTTCCGTTCAAATGCAGATTATTAACGTTAAACCAATGCACTAATTTTGATATAGCATTATTCACTTCGTCACATTTAAATGATTGACGTTTAAGTTTAAAAATCAAGGAAGTATCATCAGCAAATAATACTATATCATGACTATCCCCTACAAGGTGAGGTAAGTCATTAATATACACCAGAAACAGGAATGGGCCGAGAATCGAGCCCTGAGGAACACCCATTAGTACAGGTGACCCGGAAGAACTTTTACCATTGATAATAACCTTCTGTTTTCTATTACTTAAATATGAAATAATAAGTTCAAGTGCTGTGTTCTTGACACCATAGTACTGTAGCTTCCTGATTAATGTCTCATGGTGAACACAGTCGAAGGCCTTGGAAAGGTCACAAAATATACCCAAAGCATCCTCTGAATTCTCCCATGCACAAAAAATATGTTTAATAAGCTCAACTCCAGCGTCAGTTGTCGAGCGACCCCTTATAAAACCGAATTGATTTTTATGTAGCAATTTATTAATATTAAAGAAACTTAACATCTGCTCTAAAATAATTTTTTCAAAAATTTTACTTAATGTTGGTAGTACAGAAATTGGTCTAAAATTGGCGGGGTCTAATGTACTACCAGATTTAAATATAGGTATGACTTTACTATGTTTCATTAAATCAGGAAACACACCAGATTCGACGCTTATATTAAATATAGTGGCTAGATAAGGTGCTAATATATCTATTATAGATAAAATAACTTTAACGGAAATCCCCCATAAGTCTGCCGTTTTCTTAACATCAATAGTTTTAAAATATTTAACGATATCTTTTGGCAGTACTCTATGGAATTTAAAAGTATTTGAACAAGCCTTTACATTTTGTTTGAGCAATGATTCGGCTACAGTAGGAGAAGAATTTAATGATTTTGTTCTCAAAAAGGAACATCAGTAAAATGTTTCTCAAAAGCCATAGCAACTTCTTGATCAGATCGCGTTAAATTATTGTTAATATTCAATTGAAAATCCGAGTTGCGCGGTTTGACCTTGCCCGTTTCACTATTTATTATTCTCCAGGTCATTTTAATTTTGTCGGATGCAGTTTTAATTTTGTTGCTTAAATGTAAAGCCTTAGCAGTGGAGCACACTTTTTTAAATATTTTAGAATATGTTTTTACATAATCTCTAAATATAACACGACTATTAGATGATCTTTCATCATAAAGCTCGTATAACCTTCGCCTACTTTTATAAATTCCTACTGTCGCCCATTCATTAAATGATTTGCGACTGTTAAAAGAGAGAGTTTTAGAAGTAAATATTCTACTAAATTCACAACTTATAATTTCAAATAATGTAGCATACAAATAATTAGCACTATTTTTAAACGAAAGTGATGGAAGTCTTTTTATTATATTACTTCTGAACCTCTCCAAGCGATGTTCATTTATTGGAACAAACACAACTATCTTATTTTTCTGTTTTTTTGTGTATGTAAGGTAGTGATACTAACTGTCCACAGTGATCTGAACTTAAATTTGGAATAATTGATTTATGTAATAATAATAATAATAAATAAATAATAAAATATTTATTTGCATAAAACATGGTACATTTTTAGGTCTTATAATATAGTGTGAACATGCATGTTTTACCGATTTATCAGTGTGCAAATATTAAGTCGACATGCAATAATTGAATAATTAAAATTACAAAATTACAGTAACGTTTCATATCAAAATTTAATAAAGCAATATAATGTCAATAAATTTATTATGTAAAAAGAGAAAAAAATAATAAAAAAAATATACAGGCATGGTCATGTCATAATGCATAATGTCAAACTAGTATAATGTCAGTCTTACAAATTCTAATTAATTTGTCAATTTAAAATTTCAAATAACAACAATTCGCTTGAGGTGACCGTCACGGCAGAATTTAATAAATTCATTTACGTCATAAAAACAGTTTTCAATGAGAGTCCCGAAAATTACTTTTTTAAACTGAAAGGGCTTAACATCTGTAAAAATGTTATCTATACAGGTCGCACTAGGCCCAGCAATACGTGTTGGTTCTAAGAATAAATGTACAAGAGAAGAAGTTTCAAGGAGATTGATATTAAAGTCTCCACACATTACAACAGACTTGTTCTGTTTACTAAGCTTGAGTAAAACTTCTTCCACAATCCTTTCAAAATGGTCATAAGTAGCAATGGTCAAAATAGTCATGGGGGTCTGTAAACACTTACAACAATGAGGTGCTCAAGCTCGATACAAGCCATTTCTACAGTTCGTTCAACAGAGAGGCTAGATTCACGAGGCTATTGAAATTAAAAAACATTCTAATTTCAATAGAGAAGATGGATGGGTGCTGCCATCTTCTTGGGATCCCATAATTAATAAAATTAAATCCAAACTCAAGTATACCATTGCTAGACTTCAAGATACTGTAAGCTCATTCTACGTAAATCAAACCAAAAATGAATATTAAAAAACTGAAGTTAGCGGGGCTAACTATGACATCAGGACGTCCAAACCGTCCTTCAAACACCTCAGTCCCCTGTGACCACGGGTGCTTGAAAGCACCTGAAACGTCGGGAATATAAAATAAGTTAATACAGTCAAAACCGGATATAACGACATTGAAGGGACCATAAAAGCGTTAGCAGGTTTGAAAGTATCAAAGTGAAGTAAACTATGATCTTTGCCTTTGCAAATTTTACATTTAGAGTTAGAGTTACAAGTCCCTGCCTTATGTATAACACTCAAACAATTTACACAAGCGTGTCGTTCCTTAACATATTTATAACGGTCGTTTGCTGTCAGTTTACAAAATGCTGGACACTTGTATAAATGATCATGCACAATATCCCTGCACAAATATTTGTATGTATTGGCTATAGCGACATAAGATTGCGGTTGTGGAGCTTTTGCGGTGGGTCGGTGATTCGGGTTCGAAGTCGAGGTCAAACTCGAATGATAAGAGCGCTGTAATATATTAACTTGTTCTTTTACATAGTCGGTTAAACTTTTAAAATTAGGAATTTTATCCTCTTGAGAATGCATTTCGAAAGAACGAACTGTCTCGGGATCTAACTTTTTTAAGGCGGTATATAATATAAACTATCGGATGTTATATCCGATAGTTGTTATAAGCAATATACACAAGTATACAAACATAAAAATATTTATTCTATAAACTTGCAGGACCAACAGTACAGCTTATAGACTACAATAAGTTTTTAAAGTAATCAGTCATTTTGGTCTGTTTTTTTTTTAGCTGAGTCTCAAATGTGTTTTGCATTTTACGTTTCATTCTCGTCAAGATTGCTTGATTATCATCAGCATTAAACTCTTCGTTAAAAGCAACAAATTTTTGTAAAACTATTATAGCATTAATAGCCTCGCATAGTGTTGTTGGTTGGAACTGCTCTTCGTTTTCTTCATCAGTGTTACGATTATTACTTTCAACTTCTGCAAGAATCTCTTCCTCAGTAACTACGGCGCACACGTCGGATGGGGTGGAAGAAAGTGCGTAGGCATAAGTCAAAACATTCCTTCATAGATTAGAATAGGTTTGAAAATTGTTCGTATTGTTTTATTTTACAAGCACAACGGTTGATTGTTATAGCCAATGAATATCGATAAAGTTCCGTCGTTCTAAGCGATATGTCGCTGTATCCGATGTTGTTATAGGCGGTATGTTTACTTAACTGTTTATTAGGGATTCGGCCGGCACCTTACCATTCGGTCGTAATAACCGATTCGTCGTTATATACGATGTCGTTATATTCGGTTTCGACTGTATAAGCGAAAAAATCCGTAGAATTAGTTTTATTTAAATGTGTAGTGTTCGCGTAAATATAAGAAATCATTATATACTACATATATTAATTATACAAGATGAATTAGCTAACCATACAGACATAATTTTAGATGTGCAACAATTTAAATGGCATCTCCGATTGCATTAAAGAAATGTCGCAATTCAATATTCAGCTTAAAAAATATCAATAATTTAAGAAATCAGGCAAGCTGCAAGGCATTTGGCTCCCAGATATATTTTAAGATGTAGCCTAAAAAGTGTGGTAGGTAATTGTGTGAGGCGTGTAGGGATTTTATTATATATTATTGGTGCCAGATAATACTTTTATATATTAATGCCGTTCTTGATTACAATGGTTGCAAACTGTAACGTCTGATAGTTTGTTAAACAATTTTGGGTTACTTTGAACAAAGTTTGCTACTTCATATATAAATACAAGAGCAAGCTCAAAATTTTGTGCTCAATAAAATACGGGTTGCAACTATCAGTAGCTTTAAGACCGAACATAGGCCTAATGAACCATTTTTGGGACTTAAATATAATTTCCAAATTAGTAAAGTTTCCCCAGAATATGATGCCAAACCTCAAGATGGAGTCAATAATACCATGGTAAGCCGTGAGAAGCACATCAGTACTTATGACGGATGCGAGCTTATACAGCACATAAGCAGAAGAACTAATTCTTCTCTTGTTTAGTTCTTATGTGTGCGCTTTCCAGTTCAGAGTTTTATCAATAGTTACAACTAGAAATTTTGTTGTGTCTACTTGGTTGGTTTCTGTCCCTTGGTAATGCACATTAATAATTCAAGCTAATGTTTATTCTAGAAATTTCAGTATATTATGTTAGATTTTTAAGATAGGATTCCATGTGATTTAAAACATTTCCTCTGATGCCATAGGCCTTTAATTTACTGAGCATGGACAACATAATGGAAAGCCTGAGTCATGTCGCAGTAGATCACGCATACCGGTGTCTCTTTGTCTACATTTATCATCACTATTTAAAAAATCAAAAATAGCCATATTTATAGTTTTGTTTTTGCAGGATCCTTTTTGGTTTTCTGTAAAGAATGTTAAATTTCTTAGTCATCTTATGAATTTAAGTACATCATAAGGTGTACTCGGTGCCCTAGACATTGACTGAGTTGATTTGATTATATTTGAAGTTACTTGCTTCCCCGTCACCAACATTGGTTGTACTTTATATATTTATAGAGTACTAGCTGACAGCCGCTCGCTTCCCTAGACACCGATAATAGTTTATTGCGGAACCTATTTAAATTTTTTTTAAAGGGACTATCGTAAAATCCATTGAGTATAGTGAGCATCTAGATTGCGAAATCAGTAACTATACTAAATTTCCAGTCTGTAGCCATGATATATAGTTTTAGAGTTCTCGTGATGAATCAGTCAGTCTATTTTGTAATACCACTGACTGATTCATAATATGAATCAATATAATACTAATACATATATAATATATACATATAGTACTAATTACTTAGTATTAGTAATTAGTATATTGTAAAAGTTCAATATAAAACTCCACAAGAATGTTCCAAGCCTAAAAATCGACAACTATGCATTTCCGCCATATTAAAATTTAGGATTTTAGATTAACAACAACATCTATCCATTATCAAAGTTTAAATCTCAAATCGATTGTAGGCTTTCTATTTTGCATAGTACGTAATAATATATAAAAGGTCTACTTGTTAATTAACATCTTTTCATGATTTCACGATTCTTGTTGTTGACGAACCCACTTCCTCAACAGGTCATCAATTTTATCTCGTTTCGCAACTAACGGGTTACATCGCAAAGTTACAATCAAATATCTAATAATTTGATTTGAAATTCATACCTTGCGAACCTAGCACGACGATTTTAGCTTCTATTACTTTCATGTTACATTAGCAGCTAAATACACAACTATATTTTGAAACAGACTGTTAAAATAATGTACCTATTCACATTTTTTTATTTAGTTTTAAACAAAAACATCAAAAACTGGACTAAAAACAATAAACCATGCAACAGCTTGACAGCAACTATATCAACAAAAAGTTGGAGTTGGAGATTGGAGTAGGGATATTCGATATACATCGATGCATCGAATTCACTCGATGTTTACAATACGATGCATCGAATTGATCCGATGTTTTGGAAAGTTATTGATATACTCGATGTATCGATGTATTTTCATAAAACATCGAACCAATGATAACCAGTCAATTGTAAAAAGGTATACTTATCTATCACTATTAATATTACAACTTCTAAATCAGAAAAACTAATAAAACATGCTCTGATTTAGAAGTTATAATATATAAAACTGTTGGTGGTGCTAGTTAGCAGCCGTCAGTCCCTTAGCGGAATCAAGAAATTGAGATTAGCTGGTTGTCAGAGTGTCCGATTCAAAAGGACGACGAGTTCCAATTGCGCACCAGTCTTCGTTTTGTCAACCGATAATACACTCCAAAATACCGTACTATATCACAATACTATTTATATTTATATATATTTTCGATAAGGACTATTAATATTTAATAATTTAAAAGTAATATTTTGCTTAGATACGAGATACGTAGTATTTAAATTAAATTCACATTAATTGTAAAAACAAAAAATCATACTGATAATTTTCGTTAGAAGTTGCATAAGATGAAAACAGCTTCTGGTTGAAGTTGAAAGGCTGCTAAATTACGTTTATATAGGTTGAATCGGGACAGATGTTTCGTGAATTTTGTTCTAGACCCGCCGTCCATTTAGTAGTAGGTCAATGATAATAAATAATAATTTATTTATTTTTTATTGCATTCCTTAATATAAAGGAATACAAAGGGCGGACTTAATGCATTCTCTACGAGGTGAGAATTTGAGATAGGTGTAGCAGTATAGAATAAAACCAAAATAAAAAATAAATAACTAAGATATATATAAATTTTACTAATATATAAAATAAATAAATACATACAGACATACATACATACATACATACATACACATCAACACACAAATATAAATAGTACATACCCACATATTGGCTATTAGGGTATATTCGCCATAGTTGCCACACTTGGCAGGCGGGCTTGCAATCGCGGTTTTTTTATTACTTTGAGTTGTCAGAAAGATGCTGCTGCCCAACAACTGCTTCAGTTTGTAAAACATATCCACCCACGGGATGATATGGGATAGCGGATTCTTTTACACCGCCACTACACGGCGGTCAGAAATAAAATGTTTTAACGTTAGTTAAAGAATGTAAAACAATCCTCATCCAACTCTTTATCAGCTCATAATCATTCAAAAAATAAATTTATTTAGTTTGTATTCCTTTATATTATAAAGGAATACAAAGGGCGGACTTAATACATTCTCTACCAGGTGAGAATTTGACGTAGGTGTAGCAGTATAGAATAAAAACAAAATAAAAAATAAATGACTAAGATATATATATATATAAATTTTACTAATATATAAAATAAATAAATACATACAGACATATACATACATACATATATACACATCAACACACAATTATAAATAGTATATACTGGATACTGGTAAATATAAATAGTATAGACTGGGAGAGAATGCCTTAAAGCGGGGAATGCACTTGACGGACATGCCCGCGGGCATGTCTGTCACCGCAATACACTACATAGACTCATTAGTTTGCTTTATGTCTGTGCCCGCGCAGACAAAATGGGATCGCGCGGACGTTCAACAGGCAAGTCTGCCAGACCGGCTGTGACGGTCCTACACTATCAAACTTTGCACAGACCTATAGTAGCGAAGTCCGGCAGGCATGTCCTTCAAGTGAATTCCCCGCAGGCATTAAGTCCGCCATATGTACGATTTTTCTTTTGTACATATAAGTTAAAAAAAAAACAAACACGTGTGTGTGTTTTTTTTTAACTTAACACACACAAAAGGCGTGCGGACAAAGATAGTGCCGATGTAAGATATCATTCAAAATTGTCAGTTGTTTGCATGGGGTGTCAAGAAGTTGACTACAGATTTATAATGTAAAGTCATAAAAAGTACTCGATGTTGCAAAAACATCGATGTTTCTAACCGATGCATCGAAATTTGTCGATGCACACTCTCGATGCATCACATCGATGTATTTTCAAAGTGGACACTCCTAGATTGGAGTTGGACCACAACTCCAAACAGCTCTGACAAGTGATTGTTGTTGTTTTTATTATTCGCTCGAGAGAGCAGGCAAAGGAACTAAGCCACACAGCCTTGTCTTTTTTATTTTGAATATATAGAATTTAAAGTGTAAAGGCCGCAACCAAGTCTTATTTTCTTTGATTCTTCATATTTTCGAAAACCCGTAAAAACTAAAGCCAAGTCTTCTTTATATTATAATCTTTGTAAGTTTCACTCCGTGTAGATTTGTCGATCCAATATTTTCAAAAACAGGGATACCATATTTCATATTTCTTTTACAGTATTATGAATAAAATGGCAATTAATAATATTTCTGGATCAGCTCCCCAGTTAGTATTAGCCGAAGCTTTTAATACATTAAAGCCCTTGGAAGCTCTGTCTGTAATAGAATTCACGTATTTGGTCTGAAAGTGGAGAAATTTGGAATAGGGCAACGGAACCCAAGGGGCCAGCAGCTGGTCGACTTCATGGAGAAAGAGGGACTCTTTATGATGAACTCTTTCTTCCAGAAGCGGCCCCACAGGAAGTGGACCTGGTCGAGCCCCGACGGTTCGACAAAAAATGAGATTGACTTCATTATGACGACCAGACGGCAACTGTTCAGTGATGTCTCAGTGATTGCGAGGGTGAAAACCGGCAGCGATCACCGAATGGTTAGAGGCACACTGAACCTAAACGTTAAGTTGGAGAGGTCTCGTCTAATGAAGTCAACGCTCCGTCTCCCTCGTGCTCTAATCCAAAGTCCCGAAACCTTTCAGCTCGAGTTACAAAACCATTTTCAGTGCCTAGAAGACTGCAATGAAGTGGACGATTTGAATGACAAGCTCGTGGAAATTGTCCATGCGGTCGGAGCTAAGTTCTGCAAGACCCGCCGCAGAAGAACACAAAAACTCTCCGATCACACTCTAAATCTATGGCTGTTAGACGAGAGATGAAGCTACATTCTTCAACAGATTTGACAGCATACAGGCAACTGAACAGACAGATCTCTAAATGCATGCGGCGGGACTTACGCAACTTCAATACAGCTCGTATTGAAGAAGCGATCGAGCGGAACCAAGGCTCCAAAGTCTTTGCCAGAGATCTGTCTGCCAGAAAGAGCCAACTGTCAAAGCTGAAGACCGAATGTGGCAGCATTGTTTCCGGGGCACCTGAGATTTTGAGTGAGATTGAGAGGTTCTATGGGCAGCTGTACACGTCATCGTTGGAGCCGCACGCAAGTGTGAGTAACGATCCAAGAGCGAGTCTTATCCGACATTATTCCGATGATATCCCGGACGTCAGTCTGAGCGAGATTAGAATAGCTCTCCAGCACCTTAAAAACGGCAAGGCCCCAGGCGAGGATGGAATTACAGCGGAGCTTCTGAAAGCGGGTGGAAAACCGGTACTTGAAGTCCTTCAGAAGCTCTTTAATTCCGTCCTCCATGGTGACATTACACCGGAGGTATGGAGCAGAAGTGCGGTGGTCTTGTTCTTCAAGAAAGGCGACAACGCTTTCTTGAAGAACTACAGACCGATTTCCCTTCTGAGCTGCGTCTACGTGCTGTTTTCGAGAGTCATTACGAATCGTCTCGCGCGCAGACTTGACGACTTCCAGCCTCCCGAACAAGCCGGTTTCCGAAAAGGCTTTAGCACCATAGACCACATACATACCCTTCGGCAAATTGTACAGAAGTCCGAGGAGTACAATTTGCCACTATGTCTGGCGTATGTGGACTATGAGAAAGCCTTTGATTCCGTCGAAATTTGGGCGGTGCTGCAGTCCCTTCAGAGATGCCAAGTTGACTGTCGGTATGTCGAAGTGTTGAAGTGCTTGTATAGTAGGGCTACGATGGCTATCCGAGTACAGAACCAGAGTACGAAACCTATCCAATTGCAGAGAGGTGTAAGACAGGGTGACGTCATATCCCCGAAACTCTTTACCGCTGCATTGGAAGATGTTTTCAAGCTTCTGGACTGGAAAGGATACGGTATCAACATCAATGGCGAGTACATCACTCACCTTCGATTTGCCGACGATATAGTCCTTATGGCAGAATCGCTGGAGGACCTAAGCACTATGCTCAATGACCTCAATAGTGTTTCCCAACGGATAGGTCTTAAGATGAACATGGACAAAACAAAGATCATGTTTAATGTCCATGTCACACCTATGCCGGTAGTTGTTGGGAACACTAAGCTCGAAGTTGTTGACGAGTATGTTTACCTGGGACAAATAGTCCGACTAGGTAAGTCCAACTTCGACCGAGAGGTCAATCGACGGATTCAACTCGGTTGGGCAGCGTTCGGGAAATTACGGCACATCTTCTAGTCAGGCATACCTCAAAACTTGAAAACGAGACTGTACACCCAGTGTGTGTTGCCAGTGATGACATATGGAACTGAGACGTGGTCCTTCACTGCTGGCCGGATGAGGAAGCTCAAGGTCGCTCAGCGAGCTATGGAGAGAGCTATGCTCGGAGTTTCTCTGCGTGATAAACTCAGAAATGAGGATATCCGCAGTAGAACCAGAGTGACCGACATAGCCCAACGGATTGGTAAGCTGAAGTGGCAATGGGCCTGCCATATAGCTCGAAGAACCGACAACCGATGGGGAAGAAAGGTTCTCGAGTGGCAGCCTCGTACCGGCAGGCGAAGTGTAGGGCGTCCCCCCACTAGATGGAGTGACGACCTGGTAAGATATGCAGGAAGTCGATGGATGCAGGTGGCTCAGGACCGTGCTGTG